ATAAACAATTGGTAATTTTGAGCGTTAACATATATACTCTTTTTTGGTTTGAAAATGTTTGGTTAAGTACCTAGAATTCAATAATTTGTTGTTTGTTGGTTTTAGATGTGTAGAAAGTGTTGTTTGAGCAAATGTTTGGTTTCTGCAGGTTAATCCTGAAGTGAGCTGCATGAAATTGATGGATTTGTGCATAAACAACTGTCTGCGTGAAATTGATGTATTTGTAAAAGTTCATTTGTTTAATTGATGAGGAAATAAGAATTATTTTTTCCTTGTGTAATTGATTTGTAAAAGTTGATTTGTAAAAGTTGATTTGTTTAATAGATGTGTAAATAATTCTTATTTTTTGCTTGTTTAATTGATTTGTAAAAGTCAAAAATACCTGTTGAAGGTACAATTTCGCAACACGAAAGTCAAATTCTCAACGTGAAAGTCAAATTCGCAACGCGAAAGTCAAATTCGCATTGCGATGGTTGCGAAAGTCAAATTCGCATTGCGATAGTCAAATTCGTGTTAGGAATTTACTTTCGCGTTGCGAATTTGACTTTCGCAACAAAAAAATCTGATAAGTGATAACAACTGAACATATCATAGCAACGTTCAAACTCAAGTTACTAATGAATGTCTAACTGAAATGTATGCATTCACACATAAAATACATATAATACAACATTTGCATTTAAAAATCACCTAAGTTAATAAGTCCCAAAAGGTGAAGCCGGTTGTGATTAAGATTTTGATTTTGATTGCGATTTTGATTTTGATTTCCTTTTGCTTGGTACCATATGAGCTTTGGATTTTGATGATGATCCATATTTTGGTAGAGGAAAAGATGATTGTGATTGCACTGGTGATCCACAGGTCAAACTTGTATGACCACTTTCCTTGCACCGACTACATGTCAATATCCTCTTCTCTTCACCCTTAGACGGTATACGATCGTGATTTTTTGGTATGCCATGTAGCCTGTTATCCATGACTGGTGGCAAAACTGTTTGTAAGTCATATGGTATGTCCCACTCAGAAGGATGTGGAATAGGGTAGACAATCTCAGCATAAGTCTATCGATATACTTCTGTAGTGTAGCAATCCATAGCGTATGCGCTTGAATCATCTTGGTTTAGATGAAGAGCAACTTTTATAACATGGCCACAAGGATAACCAGATGTTTCCCATTTCATACAACTACACGTCTTTGCATTTAGATTGACAAGCCCATTTAAGTTATTATCCAATACTTCAAACAAAGTGTTTGAACATGGTTCAACTCTCTATGACGTTGACTTCACAACACGTTTCGTTATCTTTTTTTCAGTCCATGGTGTAACACGACGTTCCAATGTTCCTGTAAATTTAAATAAATAATACTTAGTAAAATATATGATTACGAATTTAAAGAAATAATACATGCATGGTTTCTTTTCTTGTAGTACCACTGTTGAATAGAGGCTCGAAAAAACTCCATTAACATAGTAATCGGTAATTTTCGAGAATGACGACTTAGAGCGTTGATTGATTCTGCACTATTAGACGTCATGAAACCATATCTTGCTCCAAGTTGATGTACTCTTGACTATCTTTCAAACCTGACATCTTCTAGTGTTTGAGCACATTGAGGCAAAACACGTCTTAAACAATTTATATGCTTATTAAAATCCACTTCCCGATAAGCTTTTACAGCCTTCCAGTATGTCCATTTGTGATTTTTTATAACAGCAGACCTTGATTTTAGATTTCTGTACAAATAAACACCACAAAGTCCATAAAAAGCATATGAGAAACACCTTCTAACAGCGTTTATTGGCAGTATCCCATTGTTAGAATCCATGGCTACTGCTAATAAGTTTACTCTAAGGTATCGACCTTTCAAAAGTGCTCCATCAACTATAATAATTGGGCGCATGCAAGTAATAAACGAACGAATCTACAAAATAATATACACAAAAAATATAATCATTTAATTGTGAAATGCATGTAACTAACAAAAAAGAGTCAACAAAATTATATTGATTTACTAACTGCAGCACCAATGGCGATAAACAACAACTCAAAGCGTCCATCTCTATCTGTTTTGATATGAGTTACCGACCCAGGATTTTTCAGCTTTAAATTGTGACAATAAGCCGTCAGTTGGGCAAATGATGCTTCTGGAGACCCCCTCAACAATTCCAAGGCATAACATTTGGCTCTCCAAACTTGAGAATATGAAATACTAATCTTAAACCGAGCATTCATGTCAGTCATAATTTCATGTCCTCGATATACCCTGCCATTCAAAAACATTAACTCAGCCAGAAAACCACCCAACACCTTTTTGTTTGCCTGTCTATGGTGAGGAAAAACTTTGGGTTCTTGAACATGTATGTTTATTAATAAAAGTCCTAACTTGAAACATTTCGCAATCTTTTATCCTCTTTGCAATCATACGCCACATACAGTTTTTGTTAATCATACACTTTGTTTCGAAATGATCTTTGCTTGATTTGTTAACTTTTAGTTGATAGTCATCTTCCACACATTTCGTATACAAAGCTATCTTCAAGTCTTCCTTTGTATCAAAACATTCATCTTTCTTGATACGAATAACTTTTGTGTAACAATCAACTGCTATCTTTACCAACTCTTCTTCCGGTATCTGAAGTAATTCTGGCATATTCCAGTTATACTCTCGTGGCATTTTCTTCTTTTTCTTTTCTTCGGGGACTTTTTTTTCTTCTTTTTCTTCTTCAGGGTTATATGAATTACAGAATGGATGTTCAACATGTTCATTCACAGTCGTAACTTCCTCCTCATTATTATCAACAACATCTTCCTCGGTAATGGTTGTTTCATAATCAAAATTCGGGTATTGACCAATATCAAAATCATTACACGCAGGGTCTGTTTCTTCTTCTGAAACATCATCAAAATCCGAGTATTGACCAAGATCAAAGTCCGGGTATTGACCAAGATCAAATTTCGAATACTGACTAGTACTCATAATTTTTTTGTTGGCTCATAATCGTCTAACTGGTCAATACGAAAACCAGAATTTGGTGCTGAAAGTTTATTGAGATTTGGATTAGGAAAAGGTTGCAGGTTTTGAGATTGTGTTTGATATTGTGTTTTGTATTGGAAATGTGGTGAAACAAAATTTTCTTGATGATGAAATTGTGGTGGAACCATTAAATTTTGAGGTTCATAACAACGTTGTATATTGTGAGCACCATAAACTGGGGTTGAAGAACTTAGTTGATTACTACCCGCTACTGACCCAACTTCACTACTTCTAGGTTCAACAACATACAATGTAACATCATCTTCTTGCGAAACACTAATGTAAGCAATAAATCATTCAACATCTTTATTGTCGGTTAACAAATAAACTTTACATTTTCTCTGATAAGATAACCTAAATCCACTTAGAGGCTCTAAATTCAATTTCTTTGCAACACATAACATTAGAGTTTCATAAGTTAACTTTTTTAATGACAGTTTTAGTTGAAGATTCATAGGTAAAGGCATATATTGTAAAACACCATGAACATTCTCCCATGACCCTCCAAAACACAAATCTATCCAAACATGATCAACATTAGATGATTTCATTCTACAAATTGTAAATTAATTTATTAAACAAACAAGCTATAAACTACATATCATCACTAACTTAGAGAAAAACATACCTTTATTAAGTTGATAGTTGATAAATTGGGAGAGAAATCATTAAAAAATTATATAGAAATAAAATTATGTAAAAAAAATTAGAGATGGGGAAGGATGTCGTTGGATATAGGAACGGATATCGCTGGAAAGAGTGATAGATGGAGATGGAATGAGTTGCGATTTAGGGGTTTAGGTTACGAGTTGTTGCTGCTGCGTAGTTATATACCCAAAACATTTGTGTTGCGAAACTAAAACCTATTGTGAATTCGAAAATCGAGTTGCGAAAATAAAATTCGCGTTGCGAATTCAGAAATCGAGTTGCTAATTTAGAAATCGCATTGTGAATTTGGAAAATCACGCGAATTTGGAAAATCGCAATGCGATTTACATATTCGCGTTGCAAATTTGGAAACTGAGTTGCGAAATTGGAGTTTGCGTTGCGAATTTGTTGGTCATTTTCGTAAATCCAAAAAAAAGTTGATTAAAATCGTATATTATAAGACATTTTTGTCACTGAAGTTATTTTCTCTTAAATTTATTGAATTGTTATAAAATGATTTCTAAACTTATAAAAATTTATCACTATTTTACCACAACCATTTAATAACAATTCAATAAATTTAATAATTATTTTATAATTCTTAAAATTATTAATAATTAAAAATTATTTAAACATAATTTAATGATTCCTTGTCCCCAAAGAACAAGATATCAATAGCCAAAAACTTGTTAAAAGGATCTATATTACATTGAATTTTTATAAGAAAAAACCACACCTGAGATAAAAAAAAAACATATTTTTTTCATCTATTTATGACAGTGTAGTTGGAGGCCATTCATGTTAACCCTTTTGACATGGCAGAACTCCATTGGCAACTAAAATACACCCCATGTTCTGTTCTTTTTTCTTGGTCAACTGTAATAAAAGCAAGGTGTACAACCCCAAGATCTAAAAAACACAGCAAGAAATGGACTCCCGACTCCCAAACCATATCCCCCTACACGTATAAACAACTATGTACGCAGGTACTTTTCAAAGAACGCGGTTTTATTACATGTTTTTATTATCACATTCAACAGAGCAGTGCTTGAATCTGTTTAAAACCACTTTTTAGTTTTTTGGGGGAGTTTTGGAGGTTTCAAACTAGTGGTCATGTTGATTTTTTTTTTCTTGTCAGTTAGCATAAAAAAGAAGAAGAAGAGAGAGATAAACATTGAAGAAAATGACAGCCAAAACCCAAAGAATTTGATCTAAAAATATCTCTTTTTTTCTGTTAAGTTTGGTTATTCTGAATCCTTTCCCCTTCATAAATCTTGGGGGGGGGGTTTACCTTATTTATTTCCAAAGTTTTAATCTTTATTTTGTGTCGGGTTTCTGCATAGGGTGTTTTGGGGGTATAATTAGAGGAAAATGATCATGATGTCAATGGAGGGACGATGGATAAAGGAGTATTGGATGATATAATAAAAAGGTTATTAGAGGGTAAAGGAAGCAAACAAGTCCAGCTTTCAGAAGGAGAAATTCGTCAGCTCTGTATTAATTCTCGCCAAATCTTCCTCTCTCAGCCTACTCTTCTTCGGATTCATGCTCCAGTTAGAATTTGCGGTCAGCTTTCTTCTTCCCTTTCTCTTATATGTATGTATGTATGTATGTATGTATGTATGATTGTTGATGATTGGTTTTTCTTGGTGGGATTTTGATGGCATCAATTTTTTGAAGCTGGGATTTGTGTTCTTATTAGAATCTTGGAAATTGCATAACAGTTAATATGTGGGGGGAGGGAGAAAATTTCAGATTATCTGAATGCCAGGTTCATTTGGATATTCGGGTTAATCTGTCATTTGGTACCAGAGTTTTGCTTCAATTTTCAATTTGGTAATGTTTTTGTACCAATTGAGTAATTGAGATTAGCTTCAATGTTTTATTTGGAAAATGAGTTTGTCCCAACTAAGTACCTATGAGTTTTTGCTTAGAGCACACATGTCAGAGATATTCATTGGGGCATTAGGTCTAGGTACCAATTCGAACATTGAAGCCAAACTCAGATACCAAATGGTATATTAATCCTTTTCATTTATTTGTTGAAATGATTGTTAAGTTTTTAAGCATGTAGGCTGTTTGAATGGGATGGTTGTATGTTTTGAGCATCCAGAAGTGATTTTCTTACAGCAAAAGCAATGTTAAACAAAGGGTTCTTTGCTTTTCGAAAATACGAAAGTGTTTTCGAAACCGAAACAGACATCTTTTAAAAAGAACATTTCAACCGCACTTTTCGACTCGATAGCAATGCCGAACTAGGCCTTAGTAATGTAGATTTGGGATGAATTCTAATGTTAGAGGTCTTTTGCAGGTGATATACATGGGCAATACCAAGATCTCTTGAGGGTATTTGAATATGGGCAGTACCCTCCAGCTTCAAACTACCTGTTCTTAGGGGATTATGTTGATAGAGGCAAGCACAGCTTGGAGACAATTTGTTTGCTTTTGGCCTACAAGATAAGGTACCCAGACAAGATCTTTCTCTTAAGGGGAAACCATGAAGATGCAAAGATCAATCGAATTTACGGGTTTTACGACGAGTGTAAAAGAAGGTTTAACGTTAGGCTTTGGAGAGTTTTCACGGATTGCTTCAATGCCCTGCCCGTGGCCGCACTCATCGACGAGAAGATACTTTGTATGCACGGAGGGTTGTCCCCGGAGTTGAAAAGTTTGGATCAAATAAACCAAATTCAAAGGCCGACTGAAATTCCAGATAGCGGTCTTCTGTGCGATCTGCTTTGGTCGGATCCCGATCCCAAGCTCAAGGGTTGGGCGGATAGTGATCGAGGAATCTCGTGTACTTTTGGACCCGATGTAGTTACTGAGTTTTTGCAAAAGAATGACATTGATCTCATATGCCGTGGTCATCAAGTAAGCTTATTTTCTTGTTCTCTTTTATTCATGCAATGGAGCTTTTTTCTAACCTTTGAATCGCAGGTTGTGGAGGATGGATACGAATTTTTCGCTAAACGGAGATTTGTGACGATATTTTCAGCTCCAAACTACGGCGGAGTTCAACAATGCGGGTGCTTTTCTAAGCGTCGACGAAGATCTTATCTGCTCGTTCGAGATTTTGAAACCGGTTCAAGCCTCACCGAGCAGTTCAAACAAGTTGCCATTGAAGAAGTATGTTACACCCAAACCAAGCAATAGCATCATATCTTATATTGGTACTTAAATGCAACATTCAATTCTGGTTTTGCATGATTGATCTGAACAGCCACCGAAGCTTGGGAAGATTTGATGTGTCGACGAAGACGGGTTTTTGAGGATGCCAATGCCGAAACAGGGGAATACCACGAGCTCGATCCGAAGAAAATTCCGATCAACTGTAAACAAATGGACTTACAAGGAAATCTTCTTTGAGACTGAATGCTTTGTTTGATACTAATTGCAATGGAATTTATAGGGGAAATCTGTAAATCAAGCACCCATTTTTATCTTGTGTGCAGTAACATAATTGTGTACATTGAACACCATTTGTGTGCATGATTGGGTAAAATTGAGAGAAAATAGAGAATATATGGTGAATGTGAAAGCTCTCAAACCATACAATTATAAATAGGGTAAATTATGCATTCATTACCAAAATTATCAGTTTTGTTTCATTTTAGTACTTAAACTTTTATTTGTTTTAAAATCATACCTGACATTTACTTTTAATTTTATTTTGGTATCTCGCCGTTGAAAATTTAATGGACCTGTTGGACTGTCACCTCTTTTAAGGGTAAATTGTATCATTCATCACTCAACTAGCTTCTCACTCCTATTTTAGTTACTGAAGTTTAATTTTTCTTAATTTAATTACTTAACTTTCAAATTACTCTTAATTTAGTCACTTTAACTTTCAATTTTTTTTATTTTAATTATTAATAATAAAATAATAATAATAATGTCATTTCATAAAAAATTATTAATAAAATAAATCAGAGTGATTAAAAATGAGCAATTTGAAGGTTGTGTAGTTAAATTGAAATTTTTAAAACTTTAGAGACCAAAATAAAAGTGAGAAGATAATTGAGTGATGAATGTAATTTACCCATAAAAATGTTAGTGTCGTTAAAAACTTAACGACGGGTACTAAAATAAAACAAAAGTAAACATTATGTATAATTTTGAAATAAATAAAAGTTTCGATACTGAAACAAAATAAAACCGATAATTTAGAAACTAAACTTGTAGTTTAGGGTTTTATGGTTTGTACATCTTTTGTAATCTTCATGTAACTTTTCTTCGACATGGTTAATTTCTATTCTATTATTATCGTTTTTTTAATGATTTTTCACGTAAATCTTTTTATTTTTATTTTGTGATTTTGTTTGTATGTCATTTGTTGTTAGAGCGTAACACAAGATTTTCGTTGTGATAGATAAAGATGCGAGTGATTCTTGTCGCATAACACTTTGCTAGGAATTGATCAGTTGTTGATGTCTTGGATACTCGAGAAAAAAATGATGTGAGGATCAAAAAGTGTGACACTCTAATTCGATCCTACTCGAACATCGAGGGATCAAGATGTTACATAGAATCATTGAAGCGACTAATATTTTTTTAAAAAGTTATTCCACTCAACATCAAAATCATATTTTAAAATATAAGGGAAATAAGTTTACATAAATAAGGAACTCCCAAAACGACGTCCGAAATCAAAGTAATAATGATATCAAAATAGAGTTACTACTCGAATGTACAAAGGGCCAAAAAACAGTACACATACATCCACTAAAATATCCAAGACATACTCTGCAAACTTGACAAATCTGGAACACAAGTCAAACGATAATCTCCTTGAGCATCCACCTAAAAATTTGTGCACGAAAACACATCTCAAACGTTGAGCTCACAAGCTTATTGCCACATAAAAAAAAAACTCTACTATACTACATGCATTCATCAAATGAATATGTTGGTAGGTATAGTCATGAACACAATGTACATTAACGTAACATATGCATGCATCATGGTGTAGCGCAAGTGTCACATGAAATCTAGGACTCATACCCTTCTAGCATGCTTAAGGTACTCTAGATAAGACCAATGTCACACGGCATCGAAAGCTTCATCTAGTAAGACCCTCATTGCCAAGTACCTAGGGTGCAATATTGTAAGCCTACTTCTAAATAGTATTGGGACCTATCTAGGGTCACATAGCATCAAAGCATATGCTCGACTAGCAATTTAAGTGTTTTAGGCAGTGACTTAAGCATACTCATATATTTTCTAATAACAAGATGATCGACGTACACATACAAATAATTTGGGTGTTCTCATCGTTTCTTGAGAATTACACAAGAACTCAAGTCTTATGAAATCTCACCTTATAATGATATTATGCTTAATTACACAATTTATTAAATGTTTCCACTTGTAAGCATTATTGAGAAGTTTTAACAGTCTTAGACCATTTCCCGAACTCTCAAACTAAAATAAAGCTTTTTGTTCATTTCAATCCAGTGTACTAAATACTAAGTCATTTAGTATTGATACTGACCCTTGAGTATTGATATCTATTCATGGTATCGATACTAATTTTCATTCGATATTTTGAGAAAGTATGTAGTATTGATGCCCCCATACGAAGTTTCGTACTTACCTGTTGAGGTATCGATACTACCATGAGTATCGATACCATATTTGCATTCGATGTTTAAGAAAACTAGATCAATATTAATACCCCTACTTAGAGTATCAATACTTCTTCTTTGTGGTATAGATAATCCCCGAGTACAAATACCAAATTTAACCACTGAAATTTGAAATCTAACGATGATATCAATACCTCACCATTGATATCAATACTCGAAGAACAATATCGATATTTTATGAATAAAGGATCAATACCACCCAGCCAAAAACCTCTTGTTTTGGCTATCTGAAGAACAATATCACTACTATTCATCTATATTGATAGTCAAACTCATAAATACCTTATTTCTAATGAAAAAGTCGACTCAGCTCATCCCCTAAGTCATTCTAAGGTCCTTAAATTTTATTTAAAGCTTACGAGAGTTAAAGGGGTCATGATAAATCATTTCTCATAACCTCAAAATCATCCAAATACATGTCCAACAAAAATGTACTTATATGCACAATGAACTCATACAAGTAACATATGCACCATAGATATCAGGGGTGTGAGCGCTCAATGTCAAAAGCCAGAGAGTTTATCTTTGAATAGATATTGCCTTGTACTTACCCAGATTAATAAAAAATTGTAACATACACGCATATAATGACCTATAAGTGATATAGATAAATTAGAAGTTGATAGGGAAGCGGTGACGGTCTGGCCTCGTGTTATAGGGCCAAGTGGTATAGTAAATTTATCATCCTTAGCTTTAGGGCATGTGGTGCATGTATCAAAAGTATATTTACCTTACTCCTAAGTTGCAAGAAACCACTGCAAGCTCACTCAAAAATAAGCATTTTTTCACTCTTACATTTGAAGCTTTTTCCCGCTTCTTTCACTAATCATGAAATAAGAAATGAATTACTAACTAAAGTAGAAACTGAAAGGGAATTTAATAAGGTTTCTTGAGCTTCAAATCCACCCTAAACGAGTTGATTTAGTGAGGATTTCTAGAACCCTACTAAACCCATAACCATAGCCAAACCATGAAAATGAGAAATTAAAAGAAAGCTCATGGGGGTGAAGGTTATCCCTAGAGATGGGCATGGGACTCTTGCTAAAGTTGCTTAATGAACAATTCAATTTATCTAAAATTCCATTCGATCAATCTGAAACTATTAACCAAGAATTTGATACATTATAAGAAGTTTTATCTTAAATACGTCTACAATTGTTCAATCAAATTCTACACAATGTATTGAAGAGAATCCGGCACCGGCACCGGAGTCTTATTTCGACAAGTTTCGAACAACAACGGTGGGAAACGGTCACAAACTCTATAGGTAGCAAACTTCAATTTTACATGACACCACCATTCAAACCCCTCTATACAAGTTCTACACATCCAAAAGAACTAACCACACATGCAAAAGGTACCCAAACCTAGCCTTGACGTACATTAAAACTCAAGCTGCAAAGGTACTTGATTTTTCGCCAAATACGGGGAGACGGCTCATATCTCAGACGTCATAAGGAGGACGAGGGCTTCTCTGTCCAACTTCGTTAACCTTCTCACAAGCGTCCGATGCCGACCTTCTCCGAAATCGAAACGACTCTCTGCCTCCTAACAACATCCCATCCACATAAGCAACACTATACATCCACAGTTATACCTTTCCATTACAACATATGGAAAAGTAGGGCCGTCTATGCTAACCAATATACCTTCAATCTAAAATATCTATGTCCGTGTAATGCACGAAATTATGACCGCCACATGCATCAAAAACTTCATCAATTATATAAAAATGACATGTAACATCATACAAATGTGGCAAAGTTGAGGCACTCAATAGCTACACAAAATAAAACTTTGCGTCATGACTATGATTTCAACATTAATATATATGATATTTGATGTGACGTTACATTATTGTGCATTATGCCCCACATAGGAAATGAAAGGCCAAAAAAATAGTAATAAATACAATATGAATTCTTGTCCTCGGAAGGTAACCCTAACTACCCTCATACAAAGCACTTAAATGACATAACTACCCTCATAAAGGCCACTTATCAGGGGGAAATAATCAAGTGGGAGTAACAACCCATTAATAGGGGTAGTTCTGCGGTGCGGCGTCTAAAAAACGGCTAATATACGGCGTGACCGGTAAAACAAGTTACCGGTTAAAATTTAGACCGGTTATGTTATATTATTTAACCGAAAATATTATAAAGTACAATAACATACTAGGTAGCGCTTATATAATGTAATAGGTAGGCTTATATTTACCTATTTTATAAGTAAACCGGTATATTTATACTGATAGCATTGCAAATTTACCTATTACATTATAATATGTTGAAAGTGTCCATACTTTTTATAAAAAGGATCGATAATTTTTTTAAAGTTATGTAATTTATGTTTCAATTTTTTTTAATAGTGTTTCATGTTTTTCACCTACAATATTAATTTAATAATTTCATTTGCACAAAAAATTATTTGATTGTTTTGATATTTTATAAAATAATATTTAGAATTTAAATTTAACAATATTAACCAAAGATAATAATAAATATGTAATATATATTTTTATTATTTTTAATTTAATAATAATATATATCCTAACGTAAAAAATAAATCATTAGACGCCTATAATTACTAAATTAATATCTTAAAACTCACTCAAAGATAACCTTAAATTAATGTTTTCCACAATGAAAAAGTATGGACACTTTTATAAAAAGGATAGATACTTTACAACTACCTATTACATTATATAAACGATACATATTACATTATATAAGCGCTACCTATTACATCATATTTTTACCTATTATATTGAAAGTGTCCATACTTTTTATAAAAAGGATCGATACTTTTTTTAAAGTTATGTAATTTATGTTTCAATTTTTTTTAATAGTGTTTCATTTTTTCCACCTACAATATTAATTTAATAATTTCATTTACACAAAAAATTATTTGATTGTTTTGATATTTTATAAAATAATATTTAGAATTTAAATTTAACAATATTAACCAAAGATAATAATAAATATGTAATATATATTTTTATTATTTTTAATTTAATAATAATATATATCGTAATGTAAAAATAAATCATTAGACGCCTATAATTACTAAATTAATATCTTAAAACTCACTCAAAGATAACCTTAAATTAATGTTTTCCACAATGAAAAAGTATGGACACTTTTAAAAAGGATAGATACTTTACAACTACCTATTACATTATATAAACGATACATATTACAATATATAAGCGCTACCTATTACATCATATTTTTACCTATTATATTGAAAGTGTCCATACTTTTTATAAAAAGGATCGATACTTTTTTTAAAGTTATGTAATTTATGTTTCAATTTTTTTAATAGTGTTTCATGTTTTCCACCTACAATATTAATTTAATAATTTCATTTACACAAAAAATTATTTGATTATTTGATATTTTATAAAATATTATTTAGAATTTAAATTTAACAATATTAACCAAAGATAATAATAAATATGTTTTCCACAGTGAAATAAGTATGTACACTTTTATAAAAATGATATATACTTTTTTGAAAGTTATGTAATTTATGTTTCAAATTTTTTAATAGTGTTTCATGTTTTCCACCTACAATATTAATTTAATAATTTCATTTACATAAAAAATTATTTGATTTTTTGATATTTTATAAAATATTATTTAGAATTTAAATTTAACAATATTAACCAAAGATAATAATAAATATGTTTTCCACAGTGAAATAAATATAAACACTTTTATAAAAATGATATATACTTTTTTTAAAGTTATGTAATTTATGTTTCAATTTTTTTTAATAGTGTTTTATGTTTTCCACCTACAATATTAATTTAATAATTTCATTTACACACAAAATTATTTGATTGTTTTGATATTTTATAAAATATTATTTAGAATTTAAATTTAACAATATTAATCAAAGATAATAGTAAATATATTTTCACAGTGAAATAAGTATGGACACTTTTATAAAAAGGATAGATACTTTACAATATAACAAGTAAAAATATGACAAAACCAGATTCATTATGATAAAACCGGTAAAATTTACTTGATATGTTAAAAGTATGGACACTTTTATAAAAAGGATAGATACTTACCGATAACCAAAGTTTACCGGTTACCAAATTTTTTAATAGTTTTTCATATTTTCTACCTAAAACATTATTAGTTGTCAACATAATAGGTACCGCTAAACCGAATTTATTAAATACATTTTAATATATCCGGTACTGCCATATATTAGCCGTGTATTAACCCGCCTTTCCTGAGACAATCCCCATTAATAGCCCACTTATGAAGATGTTTCTAGTCTTACACCTTTCGAGGAGGGCAACTTCGAATTTAAGAAATAGATAAGGGATAAATTCAGGAAGTTTGAAAGAAAAAATATTACCGGAAAAAGGAGACACCGGAGGAGTTGATCCGGCTGGCGAAACCGGCGGCGATCCGGTCTGGTAACCAGGAGGTTTTACGATCATAATACTACGTGTCACTCTCGTCGCTTCCCCCGGCGTTTCATCACCGTACGAGCTCACACTCCCGCCATCAGATTCTGATCAGCAGACCGCACCAAATCAAATAAAACTCAATCAGTAATAATTATGATAAAGGGAGAACGGTAAATTCATCCTCGACAGTCGTTCGATTTGTTTGTGAAATTATATTTCGGCTCACACTTTGAAATTAGAATTACTTTTAGCGGCAATTGATTCCTTTAAGCAAGTAATTATAGTTTCATATATAGTTAAAGTGTGCCTCCGCCGCCGTGGCGTGATACAACACGTGATTGGTGGAGGAGAGGCCTAAGCGTACCCTTGGCGGAGTTAGGCCGGGAAGTGAAAATGGAGTGCTTTCGGAGCTTGCCGAGGCCGTTATCGGGTCGGGGACCCGCAACGGTATCGTCCCACAACTGGTCAAGCAGCCCCATATGATCGGAAAACGAACGGAGATCGGCGTATTTTAGCTGATCCGGCGTAGCCTGAAGATCATCAAAGAACTCGATAGCCAGGATAGAAGTACTTCTGGGTGGAGAGAAGAACATATTTAACGCAAAATGAAGGTTAAATGTCGAACAAGTTGAGACAAATCTGGACCGTGTATTTAGATCTGGAAAAGGAATACTGTCGTGGAAGCTGGATCGCGGAGCACGTAGTTACGGATAAGAACAGGTAGGACCAAAAAACTCGGAGATCTTTGGCGCACGAAGAATGGAAAGTCTAAAATGCCCTCAATTTATCCAGTTGGACTCTGCATAGCATGGTTTTTTCCGGAAATTCCTCCTTGTCTTTGTCCAAATAAAGTCAATTTCTTCCTCCTTTTGATATAATATTGTATTTATCAGAACAATAAATTAATCCTCCTTTTATTTTAATATGTGGATAAACTACGTTTTTAGTACCTAAACTAGTAGTTTTGATTCATTTTAGAACCCGAACTTTCAATTTTTTCAAAACCACGCCTAACATTTAATTTTTATTTCATTTTAGCACTCATCGTTAAAAAAATTAACATGTTTAGTTTAGTACGTAAAATATCAGTTTTGACCCATTTTAGTACCTAAACTTTAATTATTTTTTTTTTCAAATTTAACGTTAAGTTTTTAACGGAGTAGTAAAATGAAACAAAAATTAAATTTTAGGTATGATTTAAAAAAAAAAGTTTAGGTACTAAAAAAGATTAAAATTGATAGTTTAGGTACTGAATACATAGTTTACCTTAATATTTAATATATACACCAATGATTTTGAACAAGAAGTATATATATTGGTAAAATTGAGGACACAAAATTTTGATTGCTTAAAATTTTATAATAATATTTATATATGTTATAACTATAATTCAATAAAATGTAATTTTAAATAAATTATTTATTTATACGATAAATTTATTTATTTAAATTTAATTCAAATTAATTGAATTAAATAAATCATTTGACCAATGGAAACATGAAATGCAATGATTATTTTTTACCGTAATTATTAATATGTTTTACTAATTAATTATAATTATGTGAATATATTAATTAAAATCATATTTTATTACAAAAACATAATTCTAATCGTAATTTTAAGAAAATTTTATTATTACACAATATTCAACTGTTTATTGGACTGTTTAAAAGGATAGCATTGTCTCAATTTTATTGTTTGGGTAAATTATTTGAAGTCATCTAATTATGAGATAGGTTTTAATTTGATCAATAATTTATTTTAAATAACAATAATCAAGTCATTTATTTTAACCGTTGATAAAAATATTAATCTCACAGTCAAATAAATTTATATAATTATATATTTGATCCTCGTTATTTACATATTATATCAATTTGATTTTAATTTTATTAAATTAAATTAATTAATATTAAGACAAAATACTTCTAATATTTAGTTAATTGACATGTCATTATTTTCTTGAATGAACGTAATTTGGACAGAATTAATAAAATGTTAATTATGTTTAAGTAATAAGGATTAAATATATAATTATATAAATTTAGTTAATTGCATTGTTATCGTTTCCTTAATCATTAATGATACGTGACTCGATAGATACATTTGAGTAGATAAGTGATTTGATTTAAAAATATTAATTGATTAGTGGTCAAACTAGAACATATCCCATAGATAAGTGCCTATTCTAGTAGTTTTACCCTTATTATGGAAAGTTATTTAATTAAACTTAGGTTGCAAGTGGACGTCTCTTTGAAATTCTTCATCTTGTCTTTGTCCAAATAGACAATTAAGTCCATTTTCCCCCTAACTATTTAACTTACTCCATTTTTTAAAATTTATCTTTTCCATAAAATAAGTCCCACAAGAAATTTAAATATTAATATTTGAATTTAAATTTTATTATTCTTTTAAGGTTGAATGTATCATTTGTTCTTTAATGTTTTTTTAATTTGTTATCTATTTTTTTCAATAGTACTTTTAACGTTTACAAAAGTTGTTTATTTTATTTGTTTTTCAAATTCAGTACCTAAAGTTTTTTTCCAGATAAGCCCTCTAATGTTTATAAATATTTTTCAAATTAATTCTTTATTGTTAACGAATTTGTCATGTAATAAGATTTTGTTGTAACATCCCAAACTACAGGTTAGTGACTAAATTGTAAAACTTCATAATTTGGTGATTAAAGTAGAATAGCTGACTAGTTCAATGACTATTTGGAGATATTTTATGAAGAATGTTTAGTAATTATTAAATAAAGTGAAGGACGAAACGGTCATTTGACTAAGAAATTAATTAAAAATGGGATATGATAAGTATATAAGGATAAGATTAAGAAGATATCTCTCCAGAAAGCTCTCTCTCCTTCTTCTTCTTCATGCAACCGTGAACCTCTAAGGCAAAGGTGAGTTTATTGTTAGCTAATTATTTGTTAATTTTAAGGTTGGGTTTTGATCATTAGATGATAACTAAGCTTAAGGAAAGCTTAAGTTATCTTAAAATCAAAAGATAAAGGAGTTAGGAAAGATTAAAGATTTGGAGTTCTTGAGTGAAATTTTGAAATAGAGTTTATAATAAGAATTGAAAATTGGATTTGACTTGTCATCAACCTAATTAAGAAGTATTAAGTGTTAGAATTAAATTTAGAATATGTTGAAATTTGAGTATGATTCTTGAATTTCATAAGGAGAAGATGATATGGAGGTTAATGATGGGATAAATGAATATAAATGAGGATAAACATGTGTATGTGAGTTAAAGATATGAAAGGGGTTGAAATATGACACAATTAAGTTAGAATGAGGTAATTTTCGTGCATAAATTGGAATTCTGGGCTAGTGTGCATCGGTACACATTCAACATATACCGATGCATAAAGGGTAAATTTCCAGAAATTATTCAGTGTGTATCGATGCACAGGGAGTGTATCGATGCACCCCTTGAAATGGAAAACATCTAATATAATTTGTGTATCGATGCATAAGTAGTGCATCGATACACACGTTAAGGAATGCACCGATACACTATAGTGTGTACTGATACACTACAAAAGGAAAATGGAAATAGTCTTTCTTTTAGTCTAAGAAATGAAAGATTAGTATGTCATTTGGAATACTAATATGTATAAATGTATGATTATGTAGACATCAAACGTAGGTAAATTTCGAAAAAATCAAAGAATTAGAATCAATTGAAATCAAGTGAGGCTAATGTGAGTGCAATTTAATTTGAACTTATGTTATCGAACAAACATTGGCTTGCGATAAGCCAATGACGGAGTTACTATAGTAAGAAGTGACTCTTAAAATACTATTTGAATTGTGATTAATATGATGTTTATGTGTGCGTGAATACATGAAAATGAGTGTAAGTGTCATATGTTATTATATGTGACCTGATTTACATGATTACATGTATATGTGATATGTGATATTGAACTACATAAATATATAAAAACATGATATAAGTTATTTGGTATTGATATACGAACTATATGGAAGTATGCACATGAATATATGTATAAGTTTATAAGCTATATGATATGATCTATGTGATTACATGTACATGTGATACATGTGGTATGTGACAGAAGAGAAGAAATATGAGATCATAAGAGCAATGAAGAGAAGAAATATGTGATCATATGAAATGTGATAAAGAGCTATGTGAAAGAATGATGTGATATGAATGTGTGAATATGTAAAGTGATATGTATAAAAATAATGCCCATGTTATGTGATATGAGAGCTAGAGGTATAGTTGGCATGCTAAGAGTCGAGGGTTTACCTATGTTCTTATGAACATATGGATTGTTTAACTATGTTCTTCGGGACATATGGACTGTTTACCTATGTTCTTCGGGACATATGGACTGTTTACCTATGTTCTTCGGGACATATGGACTGATTACCTAGATTCTTCGGGATCTATGGACTGGTCCTTCGGGATATTTATACGAGCTGTGGTGACATCATAGTGGTGCACAACCTCAATGTACTCACATACCTTAAGTCCTCAGAAGTGTACATGGGCTTTAAAGAGAATAGATAAATCAAGTGGTATGATACTATGTGTGCTCTGTTGTGAAAAGATATATGTGTTCCATGATGTGTATAGAAATGTCCAGTATGTGCTTAAATGATAAAAGAGATTAGTGCTAATAATATAAATACTGATAAGCATGTTAATGATATATGTGTTATATGATATACAGAAATGATAAGTACAACATCACATGATAAATGGGTTAATGATAATGATGGTATATGTACATGTATGCATTTTTGTTATATGAAATGTTCTATGGTTTCTATTATATGTTTTATATGCCTCAAGTCAATGACTTAGCGTGTGATTGTTTCACACGTAGGTTCCGAGAAGAGGAAGAATGATAAAAGTTAAGCAAGACAAGTCAGTTTCTCCCTTACAAAGATCAGATCAGAAACATAGTGCATAGTATGTATTTTGTAATACTGATTGTAGTTGGCATGTAAATAAAGAATTGAATCTGATATGCTCTGATCGAGTTTTGTAATATTTTAAACGTATTTATGTAAATGGTAATTTTATAGTAATGAAAGTTTAAGTTTTTTAGGAGTTTTATATATGTTTAACCGAAATTGCTATAGCAGGATATCGGTACACTATAGTAGGGTATCAATACCCTTGTAGTATTCGGGAAATTTTTTAGCATCGATACTGTTCATGGTACTATTTGTACAGTATTATTACTATTCATACAGTATAATATTATTCATAAAAACGTTTCTTTCCTTAAATTTGTTATAATGAAACATAATTCAACAATATATTATCGTATTTTCTTAATACAAGTCCAAATGTTTTAATATTTTGTAAGAATATTGTTAAAAAAAGTCAATGTGACATCTCAGACTCGTATCCAGGTCGGGTACGAGTTGGGGTGTTACATCTGTCATTTTATTGAACCCTAAATTATAAATTATAAGTTATAATTTAGGATTTAGGGTTTAAAGGTAATAAAGTTATGGTTTATAGTTTATTGTTTATAATCTAGTGTTTTAAGTTAGCAGTAGGATATAGAATGATGTAATTTAACAACTTTGATAGCTAAATTGATGCGAAAATACGATAGGGCGAAAGTGATAAATTTGGTCTACTACAATGGCAAAAGTTACCCTTTTGCCTATTTTAAATAATTGTTATTTTCTTTAAGTAAAACTGGTTACTTATGTAAATAACTAAATATTATGGGCATCGGTGATTAAAAAACTTTAAGTATTGAAATGAAAAAGAAAACATAGGGGACAAATGGTGCATTAAAACTTTTCTTAAAGGTGATTATGTAATTAAATTAAATTTTAAATTCAAATGATTTTTTTTATTGAGAATAGATTAATGTGACATTCCTAAATTTCAATATTTAAAGGCTTAAGGGTCACATATGGTTCTCTAGTAGATTAAATTTATCAATTTCGCTCCTATCGTATTTTCACATCAATTTTACTATCGAAGTTATTTAATTGCATCAATTTATACCTCTGATCGTTTTGACTAACATAATCGTTAGTTTCTGGTTATGTGAACGTCAACTGTTTCCACATCAACCAAATTACTGACATAATTCAATGATGGTGTGGCATTTATTAAAAAATAATAAACTACTTTTAATATTTCCTAAAATATTTAAAATATCCCATCTTGGTGGCCTCCACTGCAAGCGACGGTAACAAGGGAGCAAGCTACGGTGAAGCAGCATCAGACGGTCGACGGCCAAAAGAACGATGAGAAACTTTGATGCTAAAGGAAACGAAAAGATCAAATAAATGAACAAATTTGCATTAGAAACTCAACTCAAATCCAAATATTTTATACCAAATTAAAAGATCAAGAATGAAATTTTTTTAATACAAAGGATGGAAACAAAACATCACCAGTTGTTTAACACAATAATCATAGCTTGCTAGGGGTGTAAAAAGCTGACCCGATCTGCAAAACTGATTGGAATCGACTCGAGTTAAAACTGTGTTTAACCTGAGCTGTAGCGATCCGAAACCGATTCGAGTCGGAACTGGTGTTTACTTGAATCCAAGTTAGACCTGGAAATTGTGGATTTGAACCCGACATGTATCCGACTGACATGAACCCGAAACCGAGATTGACCTGGTAAATAATTGGTATTACCCGACTTGTTTTCAACCTGACCTGTTTTCAACCTGACATGTTTTTAACATGACATGTTTTTAACATGATCTGATATTTACCTCACTTATATATTACCATGGACGAAATTATAAGATTTTAATAAAATTATGAGTTTTTTAGTTTATGATGTAATTAAAAAATTAATATAATTACTTTTTAAATGTCATAATAAAATATTTATTATGATAATTAAATTAATAAATATACCTATTATATAAAATTATTTAAATGTATAATAGATAAAACAAGATTAATAATGCAAAGGAAAATTAATATAGTTTAATTTATATAAATTATATAGTTTAATTTATATAAAGAAAAAATAATATTAATAATGAAAGTATTTATTATGTAATATATATTAACGTTTTACATTATTAATATAAATAATTTTGGCAATACATTAGTTTACATAGGCCCAATACATAGGCCACTCTTTATTACAATATGTATATGCATTAGTGTTAGTCTATTTACATTAGGGTTTATGGTTTAGTGTTTATGGTTTAAAATTTAGGGTTTAGAGTTTATGATTAGAATTTAGGATTTAGGGTTTTTATAATTTATATATTTTATTACTTTATATAGTTTATGCATGGTATTTCTATAAACTATATAAATAATTTACTTTATATAGTTTATATATATATATGTTATATATATATATAGTTTATATATATTATACATGGTTTATACATACATATTATATAAAATTATTTAAATGTAAATTATATAAAACAAGATTAATTAAGTGTTAAATAATTAGTTTTTTTTATTGATTTTAGGGTTTATGATTTAAACCCAATCCTTTATTACTTTATTACTACAAATGGATTTAAATTTGAGAGTTTGGATTTATTTTTTGATTGGGGTTCCCTCGTGATTCGAATTTGGTTTGGGAAATTTGAAATTTTCGCGTCAAATGAACAAGAATTGGAGCGTTTTGAATGGATAAAGTATGCAAATGGTCACTAAAATATATTGTAATTATGTTTTTAGTCATTAAATTTTTGGAAGTTATGAAATAGTCGTATTTTATAAAATAGTGATAAATTTTCACACACGCACACGCGCACGCACGCACGCACGCACGCACGCACTCACAAAATTATTTAAATGTAAATTATATAAAACATGATTAATTAGGTGTTAAATAATTAGTATGTCGCATTGCATATTATATGGTTCATAAATAGTAGTACATGTCATATTAATTTCATTTGCATAATTAGTATTTTAGTTGCATGTTAGGTTAATTCACATTAATAACCCATTTATTTTGTTGTTATGAATAAATAATAATAAAACCCAAAAATAAGTCCATTTGCATTAGTGTTTGTCCATTTACATTAGTTTACATAGGCCCAATACATAAGCTCACTCTTTTATTACAAATATATATGCATTAGTGCTAGTCCATTTACATTAAGGTTTATGGTTTAAAGTTTAGGGTGTATAGTTTATGTTTTAGGGTTTAGGGTTTCTGTAAACTATATATTTTATTATTTTATATAGTTTATGCATAGTGTTTCTATTAACTATATAAGCAATTTACTTTATATATATATACATGGTCTATACATACATATTATATAAAATTATTTAAAAAATCAATAAAATTATTTAAATGTAAATTATATAAAACATGATTAATTAGGTGTTAAATAATTAATATGTCACATTGCATATTAAATGGTTCATAAATAGTAGTACATGTCATATTAATTTTATTTGCATAATTAGTATTTTAGTTGCATGTTAGGTTAATTCACATTAATAGCCCATTTATTTTGTTGTTATGAATAAGTAATAATAAAACCCAAAAATAAGTCCATTTGCATTAGTGCTTGTCCATTTACATTAGTTTACATATGCCTAATACATAAGCCCACTCTTTTATTACAAACATATATGCATTAGTGCTAGTTCATTTACATTAGAGTTTAATGTGTATGGTTTAAAGTTTAGGATTTAAGGTTTATGATTTAAGGTTTAGGGTTTTTAATAAACTATATACTTTATTACTTTATATAGTTTATACATAGTGTTTCCATAATATATATATATAATCTATAGATTACTTATATTAGTTATACATACATATATATACTATATTGATATAAATTATAATTTATAAACTATATATTTTATATAGTTTATACATGCGTACATATGAACATACATACATACATACATACATACATACATACATACATACATACATACATACATACATACATACATACATACATACATACATACATACATACATACATACATACATACATACATACATACATACATACATACATACATACATACATACATACGTACGTACGTACGTAGAAAATTAAAAGTAATTAGAATGTATACAGGATTAAATTGCATCGAATTGAAAATTCAAGAAGATATTTACAATTAAACCATGACTAAAATAAAAGAAATAAAAAATCAAAAACAAGTGGAAAAATGATTATTGTTGGAGGAGCATGAGCCTAATTAACCAAAAATATCTTGTTGGACGGCTCAAACTTCCCAAAATTTTCTATTCTCTCTAAATTCTCAATTTCTCTATATTGTCAGAATTTCTCAATTTCCCTCTAAATTCTCTAATAAAATCAAATTTTTTTCACACAAAAATATATTTCTTTTAAAAAGTTTTCTCCCACCACTCACTTTGAATAATATATATATATATATATATATATATTAATATAAATTATAGTTTATAAACTATATATTTTTTATAATTTATACATATATAGTTTACATATATAGTTTATATAAATAATTATATATGCTTATAATAATTATATATTTATAATATAATATAGTTTATATATATATATATATAATTTATATATAAACTTATATTATATATATATTATATATTTTTTAATTTTTTAAATAAATGTAATTTACTATATTTTTCATTATTTATTCATATTTTACATTTATTTCAATTTAATCTTTTTTTGTTTTTTTAATTTATTTCAATTTTAAGTCTTTCATTTTTATATATATTCAATTTAGTTCTTAAATTTATATGTGCATCTTCATTTGGCCCATTGTTAGTTGTTATTTATATTTTTGTAACTAGTCCATAACTTTTTAAATGTGTTTAATTTAATCATTTTTATATTAATTTAAACCTCACATTTTAAATTTTTTTTGATTTAGTCCCTTACCTATGTGTGTTGTTTAATTTATATTTTAAAATTTTATTTGTAATTTTACATTTCTTCAATTTTGTCCTTAAATTTATATTTTTTACAAAATTGATCCATGAATATGTATTTTTGTCTTAATTTACTCGCAATCATATACAATTACAACTTGCAATTCAACAATCACGAAAGATGACAAAATAATTAATCCAAAAATAGAAACGACCCGACCTGAACTTAATCCGTATCCGATAAACATCCGACCTGAATTTTATCTGTTAATGTTTTGACCCGATCTGAGCGAGATCCGACTGAAATCCACCTGAACCTGAATTAACCTGGTCTTTATCTGCTTCGGACCTGAACTGTTTTGACCTGAACTGACATCGATCCGAACTGAAAATGACCTGACCTGAACTTGATCTAGATCTGATGTCAAATCAACCTAAGTTGACTTATACCCGATTTTACCCGACCTGTCAAGATCCGACTGAAACCTATCCGATTACCTGCCTTATAGCTTGCTGCTGTAAAACATCATCTGCATGCAAAGCAATGGAACACTCAACAGGGGGAGCTTGGAAAATCACCATATCAGCAACTCTATTACACTCTCTCGGGATATGAAGAAATGAGACACACCAATCACGATGAAGAATGAAACTTTGATTCCAAAGGAAACGAAAAGATTAACATTATTGTAGTAAAAGATAAGAAACTGAAATTGAATCCATTAAAACAACCACAAAAACAAACAAAACCTATAAATTAGATCTCCATAAAAAAAAGGAACAAAATTTCAGTAAAAAATCATAAATATTCAAAAAAAAAAGATAAAGAAAGCTTAGAAGGAACAAACCTTATTGGGATTCAATCAATGAAACGAAATAATCAAGTATAAATGAGATCTAAGTGGCGGCGAACGGAGGTGTTTTATTTCAAAGGAGCTGAGATGTATTTCCAAGATACAAATGACGGTGATTTGGGGAAAACGAACTTCAGATCCATGATCATGTGGTCAAAGAGAGTCAACTGGTGAAGTTTGGTCTTGATCAACCACCAAGGATGGCGGCCGACGCGGTGGTGTCCGGCGATTGAACGGTGAAGTGACCTGATAACCAATGGAGCGACTATGCCTGAGAGAGAAGAGCACGGGTGGAAAGGGAAATAAAGGGAAAATAAATAAAGTGAAAAATATTAAAATGGTGATACAAATTTGCTTCCAAAACTACGTAGTTTTGGGGTGGTAGAAAAAAGAAGGAAAAATCACAACTTCAATCCTCTAGAAAAAGAAAAATCATAACTTCAATCCTCTAACATAGAAACAGTTGGCATTTACGTAAGTAGAAACTAACGGTTATGTTAGTCAAAAACGATTAAAGGTACAAATTGATGTAATTAAACAACTTCGAGGATAAAATTGATGTGAAAATACGATAAGGACAAATTTAATAAATTTAATCTACTACTGTGACAGTTAAGCCATATTTAAATCTGTCTAAAATTGATAGACTGTCAATCGTCGTAATATTTTTATTAATTAAATAATTGAGAATCGAATTTGCCTAGTCATGGTTAATAAATTTAATGAATATATATGTCTGAATATTGACTGTTAGTAGCCGAACTGATTAATTAGTAATAGAAACTGATTATTATGACTAATAAAGTTGTGAACCATAATTAAGGTCCTTACATGGTAATTGGGACCCCGAATTTGCCTAGTCATTTAAATATTTTAAAAAATATTTTAGTTTCATTAATTTTATAAAATTTTAAAAGAATTAATTAATTATTTTTAATTTTAATTTTTTGGTTGCTCTCCCAGTTCCAAGGTTTCACCTTGATTAATTTGGATCAATCCACGTTGCACACCTAGTTTTGGTGGGTGAGTCTCCCAACAGTGATTTTCTACATACATAGACTCGAACTTGAGACCTTACTTAAACGATATTTACCACCTGAATCAACTTTGTTGGTAATTAATTCTTATTATTGATTGATCGATCAAATTAATAAGATCAGATTCAAAAAAATGTGTATTCAAAAAAATATGTATTTTATTATAACTTCAATAATTATGAGTGATTATAAAATAGTACATATCATATGTTTAAAATTTTCTTAATCAATTAACAATGTAGAGTTATATATGCACCCTACTCTTTAACATTTTTTATACTATCGAGACTATTGATAATTTTTTTATTTTATTACTTGAATACACTGAATGAAAGCTATATGTCATGTAACAAAGAGAACCTATATAAAATAAGTGTACATTTCATTATCTAAAGTCTTGAAAGTCCCTATACACTTTGTGATAATACCAAGTCTCATGTTGTGGGTGAGGGAACAATTGCACTAAAAGCAAAGTTTCCTGCGATTTGCTTTCTTTTCTCTTTGCTGTGGTCTCTTTATTCTTTCATTAGTGGGCGGCGACATCAACCTTCATGCTAGTAGTAGTTGCTAATATTTTCTTTTTATTTCGTATATTTTTTTTTCTATTTTATGACACGAATTTTTCTGTTTTCATAACACATTTTTCCTCAGTCTTTTAGCATTTATTTTTTATTTTTACAGGGATGGATTTGACATCACCACGACTGATCAAGATGACGCTCATTTGTTATCTCATTGACATTCCATGTTTTGGACCCTCAAATTGGATTTGGATACGTAACTTACGATCACAGATAATTATCTCATGATGCTTGGCTCTGATTTAGGTTTTATCGGTGGTCTTTCAGTAGTTTAAATCCCTACTGTGGTTGGTTTATCGTAGCAGTCAGATCTTGTAACACCCTAAACTCGATTGGATTAAAGTGTCACATTAGACTACCGAGATAACCCTAAATTTTTAAATACTTATTCATTTAATTTATAAACATGCTGAGTGGTATCATAATTAAAAACATAAATAACATTTATAAAACATTTTACAAAATCTAGAGCTTTGTGACACATTATTTAAAATAAGATAAAAATAATACAAACTATTTCTTATAAATCTGGATACATAAGTAAGGTCCCCTGAATATACATACCCTCTAAAACTACCATACAATACTCTGAAAAGGGAATGCTGGAAGTCTTGCCACGACGGTGCTCCATGAGCTGATCAGCTAATAACATACCCACGAAAACATCCGAAAGCTGAGCTTACAAAGCCCAGTAGTATACTTGTTAATCTAGAGCAGCATAAGATTTCATAAATGCAAGCATACTAAAGACTGAGTCCTAAGCAGTAGATACATGCACGACCTTAATGTAGACACTGACTATGCTATACTAGTATATGATATCACACATCATCAGATACTAGCCTACTGAGAGGGGATACTGGTATCACACAGCATCGGTAGGCCCTCTATCTGCTGGATGATCTCCTGGTATCACACATCATTAGGAAGATCATCGAGAAGGAATCTCGGTATCACACAATATCGAAATTTCCCACTCAACTAAAGCATTTACTTGGTATCACACAACATCAAGCCAAGCTTTTCTGATAACAGAGGTATTGGACTAATGCAACTCTATACGCATATCTAAAGCCCAAAGGCCATATAACACTGACTTTGCTAACACACTCTTCACGAATGTTCAGGCCTTGCGCCCTAGTTAGCTCAAGAAGTGCTTCGAGCACTAACACTTCCCTACAAGGGCAACTAAGATAACATGGGTGAGCTAGAGTATAAATGTACTCACTAGGGTAAGGTCATAATTCTTTAGATATTATATCGCTTGTTTTTTATCTAACACGTTGTGGTGGAGTTTAATATTTTGTTATTGATATTAGTTATTATGCGACTCTAAAATGGTCGTTGATACTTAGGGACATGCTAATCATTCTCTGGCTCTAGAGAAGTCTTTACGCTTTTTGAGGTTCTACAACCACTATTGATCTCATTGCTCATCGCTTGTAGCACATTTTAACCCAATACCTGACTCGGTTTATCACTAAGTGGCATTGTTCTTGTCATCCTTATCGGACTTCCTTTCAAAACTCCCTTGATCTGAAAATGGATTGCTTACCCCTCTTGGGTTGGCTGACATTCTCCAAGCTTACACTTTCTGCCACTACTATCTTTGATTTAATCCTTATACTATTTTTCAGTATACATTTTGCCACAATCCTCATCCTCACAAATCGTATACATCCTCGACTAAAGGTGTATCAAAGTAATACTCTTAATATGGTTACACTCGTTATAACCCACTCATATGAGTGATTCTGGGTATCCTTAGCCATTCATGTCCCTCCCAAAATAATTCTTACTATTATGGCTTGTCCTTAGTTCTTACGAGCCTTAAACGGGTCAAAACTGACCATCTAAAGTTATTAGTATCGATACCATACTTGCAGTATTGATACTCTAGGGTCAAGTATCGATACTCCTATTAGTACTAGTACCAAAAATACATTTTGTTTCTGAAATTGAGGTCCAGTATCGATACTATCACCTTGAGTATCGATACTCCCTTTGGCAGTATCGATACTCTCAGCTTTAAATCCCTAATTTTAGCCTCAATTCATCCAGTATCGATATTGTTCATCCTAATATTGATACTCCAGCTCAAAAATGGGTATTTTAGGGTCGAGAAACTTTCCAAATTCACCCTGAAAGACTTGGCTTGAGTTATAAACTAATTCTAAAGCTTCAGTATGTTATTAGGGTCTTAAGGAAGCTAAAAAATGTCTTTTAAACTCCTAAAACGTGATTTGATCTCTATATAAAAAATAAACTCTAAAATGCTTAGATACTCAAATCTTAAGAAATACTTGAAATCTATTAAAACTTAATACTCCAAAGGATTAGAGATACACTACTTTAATGTTTGGATCCCTAAAAGAGTCTCATTGCAAAGCTAATATACTTCCTTGATGATTTTGGAAGAAAACTCCAACTATTCTTTAACTAGGATCAATTCAAGACTTGGATTAAATTAAACCATGTTACCAAGGGGATTAAGAATGAAAATGTAACTTGAAAAAATGTTTAAAATCTTACCTTGGCTTGACCTTGAAGAGAGAGAAGAGAAGAAGAAGAAAATGATGAAGAAAGGTTTAGAGAAGAGTGGGGAATAACCCACGAGTGAAACCATTTAAAACCCCCAAAATTTCTTTCATTTCCATAAATGAGTTAATTACCCTTTTGGTCTCTTATACTTCTTCCTTATAACTCAAAACCCCCATTTTATGGTCAATTGAGCCCAAAACCAATCCAATTAAACCTAACAACTTAAATTAGAAATTTTTCGAGGTTCACTTACTTCCCGAGTAAACCCGAAACTAATATCCCGAAATTTGGAGTGTTACAGATCTGTCTGTATCTACATGTTATTCGAGTTTTTCTAGATTAAATTTTTCATCTTTTCCTTGTATGGTTCTGATATGATCTTTAGTGGCGAATT